TCATTTAGAGGATTTAAAGATTTGATAGCTGACTCATACCTTTGAGCATGAGAGAAAAATAAATGTAAATGCAAACTATTTAAATGAATAATTTTATGATACAATTATTTCGGTTTTTCCGACATTTGATGCATTACCTTTTCTGAAACAATTTTCGTGACAAATATAATCTTTGATGCATTACCTTTTCTAGAACAATTTTTGTGACGGATATAATCCTTGGTGCATAAACCTTTTCTGGAGTAATTTTTGTAATTTCGGTTATGATTAAAAGTCAAACTTTAGTACCAGCTTTAGTATTTCGTATATATATTAGTACTAGCTTTAGTATTTCGTATATATATTAGTACTAGCTTTAGTATTTCGTATATATATTAGTACTAGCTTTAGTATTTCGTATATATATTAGTACTAGCTTTAGTATTTCGTATATATATTAGTATTAGCTTTAGTATTTCGTATATCTATAAACTTGAGTATTTCGTAATTTCCTCACATAATGGAACGAATTATTTAAATCTTTTTTTCAGATGAAGTAATTAGCTCCAATAAGTATATCAGATTATTTCCGATATCTCTTTAGATTATGGGAACTATTATTTGTATTCATAATTGGCAGTCCGATTGCTTGTAAGATGATCTATTACATTGTTTCCGATTATTTTAACCTTTCAAATTTGTGTTTTAGTTGAAAAACGTGGAATGGGCATTTTATTCCCAAATGAAGCTATTTTAAGTTCCTGTTCTTCAGCTTCAGTTATTTGTCAATTCTTCCAGCATGAATGATAATTATGAACCAATGTCAAAAAATGCTAGAGGTTCTCTTTGCAAAACAGGCATTTCTGAGCTAAAAACCCTTGTATATTTTGTACAAAAGTAAAACTTTTTTATCCGCTTGAGTCATTGCTGTTGACAAACCGTTGTCACCTGTTTCATTTGTAATTTTCCAATTATGAAGCATTATGCATTTTCCTACTATCAGCAGCCTTCCTTGATGTAATCTCTTCATATCCTTACACAAAGCAATATTATGTGACTTTTTTACAATAAAAGCATCGTAACTTAGTTCAACCAGTATATTATACCTCTTTTTTCATTCAACGGTAACAGTGATTTCGTTTTTCTTTTCCTTTAAGCATTTCACTCGTCCTTTGAATGTTGAATAGAAATAGCATTCACTATGCCAATGATCATTATTACAGAAAATGCAAGATTTTTTCAATCTTATTCTCGGTCTTCTTAGATGATTTGGAAGTTCGTCCGGTACGATTTAGTTCCGGCTGGTTAATAACCGGTAAAACTGATGTCTCAAAAGTGAGAAACCATTTGTTTTCGTTTAGAGTTAGACTCCTTTTGATTTTGACCGCTTTCAATGTTAATCCTAGATAATTGACTTTTCTGCACTTGATCATTTCTATTGATCAATTTTCTAAGGAGTCATCTTAATTTCATAACCTACAAACTTGGGTCTTCTTCGCGTTACTGATGGACCTTTTTAATATCCAACGCGGCAGTCTACTTCCAAGTGCTATTTTTACACTGGAGTATTCGAGACTTACCCTAAGTGCCTCCAGTTGCCGAAGTACTCTTTCTATAGTAATTTTCTTGATAGAATGGAGCACATTGTAAAGCAACTTGATTATGGTAAACGGATCCCCATATTTTTCCAGTAATACATCCATTATTACATCGTAATTTTCTGGAGCGATATCATAGCCTCTCATCGCTTGCAGTGCATTTCCTTTGAGCCAAGAGATCAATAATTCAATTTTTGAATATCCGGAATCGCTTGCGAATGTAGTTAATCGCTTTCACAACTGACTGTTCTAACTGTGCATAGAGTTTGTAACTTCATAAATGGGAACAACACTGCAACAGACATGCTGATTTATATTCAGAATTTTCATTTCAAATTCTCATACAACGAAAAAAATTTAACAACATAACAAAACTAATTTATGTAGTGATGAAAATTGCATCAAAGAGGAATATTACCCCAAATACTCTCAATAAACTCAATTCTTGACAAAAGCAATTTGTTGTCAACATTCTTCTGATGCTTTTTTAATGCTACATGAATGAAAACTTGGAGCCCCTCCACAAAAAACTTGTGTTGCGGTGAATTGACCACATTTTGGAACATATCCATCAGCCCCTGCTGCGTACTTCGAATCAACACTGCGGATAAAATACTTCGCACAAACTGAGCTGTTATTTTATCAATCGCACCAAATTCAATTACCTGAAATAAGCGTTCAATATTTGAATTCTATTTTTCGATTTTCTGTAACTGACTACTTCAAAGATTTGACTAGGCAAAAGAACGCAGCAAGTTGCTTCTTTTGGAAAGCTCACAGTCAGACCGCACTTTTCAATCATCTAAATGGTTTCATCACCAAAATCATGGCCAGATAAATTCCATTTTCCTTTCCGAGTAATTTAAAAAGTAATGGTTAAATATCTGATATTATATTTTCAAGAAACATCATATCTATTTTATGATCTCAGACATTTCAAACATTTACTTCACCATTTTTCTTTGCTTCGTCTCCAACACTGCGCCACTTCCTGGTTTGTTAAAAAAACTCAAAAAAAAAAGAAAAAAGTTCGTGTGTATATACTAATTTATCTCTGCTATACGAAGATCGTCCGGAAAAAAAAAAAAAAACAACCCAGCTGTTGACATAAAACAAGCTACCTTTAGTACAGTAATTCCAACTGATCGTTTAATCATGAGATCGGCAATAAGCAACGTTAAATTTTCGCGCTGCAATTCATTTAACTGTGATAAAACTTTGATTCGGTCCCATAATGCGTACTGTGTCGTAAGCTGAAACAAAATTTTCTCAACTTTCTACCTGCAAATCTTTGATTAAAATACTTTTGGAATTCAAAATCTCATAAGAAACTATATAAGAACCTGTAGCTATCTTAAATTTAAATTTCAAATTAAGTATACTTTGCTACAAAAAATTCCCTTTTATGCGAACAGGACAAAGAGAAGTCCAGTGCAAAAACCGCTATTAAAGCAACGATTAACTAATATCATATGACCAAATACAATTCTGAAGAGAAAATTCTCCGAACTGCATTTTTTTTAGAAAAAGATTAAGCAAACAAACAAGGTATCTTTCGATTCTAACCATCAATTTGTTATTGGTCCAATAGAATGAAAAAAAAAAAATTGAAGTTTTAAAAAAATACCTTAAAACGTTTGTGATAACAGCACAGGCGATCGATGACAGCAGCATAAAATGCATTATAAGTGGCTTCTCGCAACGCACAATGAACACAAATGTGCACTATTTCTCTTTCCTGTTGTCCCTTGAAAGAAAGTCTCAACAATTTTTCGAATGCATCCATTTCGTTCTGAAATTGGGTGGTTTATAATGAATCTGGGATAATTTAATATGGTAAAGATTAGTTAAAGATTAAATTTACAGTGGATCAGAAAGTAGTGAGAGTTCAATAACAGTAAAATCAAAGTTGGTAGTCAGAATTAAAGATTTACCGTCGAAGACATAATAGTGCAAAAAATGTCACGCCTAATCGCTGTGTTCATTTTGGCCTTTTTCGCAAGTTGCAATAAGGATGCACTGAATTTCGAGGGTTCTCCAGCTAATTTGTCATCAGTTTTGTTTTTCGACATTGAAGTAGTGGGAAACCAGGCTGAACCAACAAGCCACCAACGTCCACGTTCGCCTATGTGCATTATGTCATCCACACTCATCGGCAGCTCCTTCTCTTTGTCCATTTCTGTAGTGAAACAATTCGAATGATTAAATTAGCCGAATGAGTTTATTTTTCCCACTTTTCCAAATGCATCTTTTCTAATGCTTTACACTCCCGAAATTCTGGTCATATCTGACATTGCGCTTATCTCAATGTTGCAATCGAATACTGTCAATAGCGACGAAGCTGATTACAACTAATAATTATTAATAACAATTGACTCTTCGACACCTCAGGAGTCAATAATGATGAAGTGAAATCATAGTAATTAGAATTTCCAAGAAGTGATGACTAGAACCTTTCAATTCAACAACATGGAACGTTACAGATTTAACGATAAAAACAAGGAAATAATAAATCATACTTTTCGTTAATCCACGGAAGATGTCCACGTAATGAGAATACAATTCAAAATCTATCATATCCGTAAATTTGCGAATATTTATATTCTTTATTGCGTTGATCTCGTCCACAATATACCGCAACTGGTGTCTTGAATAAATGAAGACTTCCGTTAATCATGCAAGTTTTAATTAAAGTGGAAACTATGTATTCTATAAGACTGTTATTCTTAGATTTCGCATGATTCAATGTCTACTTGGTATTAGGACTGTATGAAAAAGAAATAAAGCTTCTTCTAATAAAACGGTCCAAATAACATTTGACAGAAATACTTACGCTTTGGAAGATGTTTCTGGAACTTGTGCGAAGAATGACTGTGTTTCTACTATGCATTTCTGCAAAGCATCCGAATCTCTGCTCTTCATAGTGTTACCACAATCTACAATTGAAGGAAGTAAACGATCAAGACTACATTATTTAACTCTTTACCGATCAAGACTTATTTAACTCTTTACCTTGAAGACGCTAAAAAATGTAACGTCATAGGAATAAAGCGAGGGCTAAAGTAACATATACAGTTTCCATTTATTCATATAATTCTAAACAAATGCATGCAACAGTACACCGGCAACTACGGGAAAACTTGGCTTCACATGAAAAATCTTGATTTTTTGGAAATTGAAAAAAAAAACTTGCAACTTAAAAGAGCTTTGAAACAAGTAAGACATTTGTCGTTGACCTGTTCTCGCAAACACTGCATAATTTCTATAATCACAATGACTTTGATAACCTGCAAAGGTAAAATCAAAGCAATGTTTCATTTGAGATTTTTACATCATCATGATGTCAACAATTTACATCTATTTCAAGCACCAGCACTTTGCTCATGATTACTAATGATAAATTCACCGACGCAATCTTATATATATATATATATATATATATATATATATATATATATATATATATATATATATATATA